ATAATCTCTGTCTGCTTCTGTGATTGTTCCTGTCTGCTGTATAATTAATTTTGCTGGGTGTAAACTAATTAAGGTGGTGGGATATAATTGGTTACATAATCATGTTACAATATGTTAGGATTGGTTAGTTAAATTTTAGTAGAATGATTGGTTAAGGTATAGCTAAGAATATTACTATATAAATTAGGGGCAAACAGGAAGTAAGTTGGGATTCGGAAATAAGGAAAAGGAACTTGTATTTAAGCTTGCTGGAAGTTCACCCCAATAAACATCGAATTGTTTGCACCTTCGGACTTCGGGTATTGTTGCTCTCTGTTCATGTGAGAAGGACCAGGGAAGTGGGAGAGTGAAGGAATAAGCTCTCTAACACCTGGCTGTCGGGAAAAATGGTTTCTCCGCTTGCTTGCTGTGAGCTATCTACAACCTCATCATCATCATCATCTTCTTCGCCCCCAAAACCTGCTTACGTATTGCCTCCATCTCCATTGAAGGAGTCAAACAACACGGCTGGGGTAGTGGTGGCTGAACCCCCTAAAATGGCATGCAGCTCATCATAGAAGCGGCATGTTTGGGGCTCTGGCCCGGAGCGGCCATTCGCCTCTCTGGTTTTCTGGTAGGCTTGCCTCAGCTCCTTCAGTTTCACGCGGCACTGCTTTGGGTCCCTGTTATGGCCTCTGTCCTTCATGCCCTAGGAGATTTTGACAAAGATTTTGGCATTTCGAAAACTGGAACGGAGTTCTGATAGCACGGATTCCTCTCCCCAAACAGCGATCAGATCCCGTACCTCCCGTTCGGTCCATGCTGGAGCTCTTTTGCGATTCTGGGACTCCATCATGGTCACCTCTGCTGATGAGCTCTGCATGGTCACCTGCATCTTGCCATGCTGGCCAAACAGGAAATGAGATTCAAAAGTTCGCGGTTCTTTTCCTGTCTACCTGGCCAGTGCATCTGAGTTGAGAGTGCTGTCCAGAGCGGTCACAATGGAGCACTCTGGGATAGCTCCCAGAGACCAATACCGTCAAATTGTGTCCACAGTACCCCAAATTCGAGCCGGCAAGGCCGATTTAAGCGCTAATCCACTTGTCAGGGGTGGAGTAAGGAAATCGATTTTAAGAGCCCTTTAAGTCGAAATAAAGGGCTTCATCGTGTGGACGGGTGCAGGTTTACATCGATTTAATGCTGCTAAATTCGACCTAAAGTCCTAGTGTAGACCAGGGCATAGAGTGCAACATCACACCGGCACCCCCCATTCCCCCAACATGCCGGATAAAAAAGTTTTTACTGTAAATATTTATAGGCTAATAGTTCTAAGTCTACAACAGTAAACTGTTTATTCAAATGAAAAGTTTTATTTGGGGATTAGAGATATATTCTCTAATAAACTCAGAGGTGGCAATGTGTTTTCGTTCTGCAGCAAACCACATTGATGAACGGAATTCAAAGCATTAATCTACTGAATACTTTCCCCCCTGTCTTTCAGACCACCAAAATAGACCCTGATATTTACCCAGAAAAATGATTAGAAGTTTTTTGCACTGAGTTTCACCTTTGGTTTTGTGGTTGTGGTAATAAACACTGATGAATTCCCATGAAAAAATAAATAAAATAAAAACTGAAAATGAAGGGTTCTATACATCCACCAGTGATAACAATGTCCACAGTACCTGGGAGGTGAGCCCCACTGTCCCCCTCACCACAAGTAATATTGTAGCAATCAACACATCTTGTAGGGGGACACAGAGTACCAGAGAAGAAAAACAGTGTCTGAATTTTTGCAACCCCTGACTCCCTCCACCTTTCTCTGAATCAGGCTGACTGGAGCTGGCTAATGGAAACCAATGGGATAACACAAGGCATATGTAACATTGGTAGTACCTGCGGCAGGCGAGATGTGCAATATTGTGTCATTGGGTGGGAAGCCAGATCAGCACAGCTACATCACTCTGGGGCGTGGGTTCTTCTGCAAAGTTGCGGAAAACCCCTTTTTGAATTAGTTTGGGAGGGAGGGGAGGCCAGGAAAGGGCTTTTCCATTGTAAATGAAAATTATGGACCTATTTTTATGGTGCTGCTTAATCAGAACCAGCTGAATTATAATGCCACAGCCTTTGGTAGCGAAGCTAAAAGGCGGTGGACAGAGGGAACACAGGGAAAGAAAGACAGGAATATGGAAAACTGAAGGTGGGGATAGAGAGAGAAAGAGGGGAAGAGACATGCCAAATTGTACTGTTTTAACAAAAGGTGTAATGAAAAATATGTTTTGTTAACCCAGTGCATGAGGGTGGGTGGACACCCTTAAACCCATATAAATATTCCTCAGATCCTGCAGTCAATTAGACCTGGGGGTAACATCTGCAAAAGCACTTAAATGATTTAGGAGCCTAAGGCTGGGTCTACACTAAACAGTTTTGCCGGCATAGCTATGAGTGTGAAAAAAATTCACATCCCAATTGACGTAGCCATGCTGGCAACCCATCCCATGTAGACGACTCTTTTGCTGGTATAGCTTCATGTCGCTGGGGGCTTAACGATAGCAAAAGAACTCCTTTTGCTGGTATACACTGCAGATCCACTAGGGGACTTAGGCCATGTCTACACTACGAAATTAGGTTGAATTTACAGAAGTCGGTTTTGTAGAAAGTGTTTTTATACAGTCGATTATGTGTGTCCCCACACAAATGCTCTAAGTGCATTTAGTCGGCGGAGTGCGTCCACACTACTGAGGCAACTGTCTATTTCCAGAGCGTTGCACTGTGGGTAGCTATCCCACAGTTCCCACAGTCTCCACCGCCCATTTGAATTCTGGGTAGAAATCCCAATGCCTGATGGGGCAAAAACATTGTCTAGGTACATATTGTTAGGCCCCCACTTCCCTCCCTCTCTCCGTGAAAGCAACGGCAGACAATCATTTCATGCCTTTTTTCCAGGGTTACCCGTGCAGACGCCATACCACGGCAAGCATGGAGCCCACTCAGCTCACCGTCACCGTATGTCTCCTGGGTGCTGGCAGACGCGGTACTGCATTGCTACACGGCAGCAGCTCATTGCCTTTTGGCCGCAGCCAGTGCAGTATGACTGGTAGTCATCGTCGCCGTACTCCAGGGTGCTCTTTTAGCCGACCTCGGTGAAGTCGGTCGGGGTGCCTGGGCAAACATGGGAGTGACTCAGCCAGGTCATTTCCCTTTTAAGTTTTGTCTCATGGCAGTTCAGTCCGGCCAGCAGTCCTACTGCACCGTCTTCTAATGAGCAGCCAGGAGAAGATGATAGCCAGCAGTCGTACTGCACCATCTGCTGCCAGCAAGATGTATAAAGATAGATGAAGTGGATCAAAACAAGAAATAGACCAGATTTGTTTTGTATTCATTTTCTCCTCCCTCTCTCCCTCCGTGAAATCAACGTCCTGCTAAACCCAGGGTTTTGAGTTCTATCCTTGAGGGGGCCATTCTGTTTCTCCTTGATGCAAAGCCACCCCCTTTGTTGATTTTAATTCCCTGTAAGCCAACCCTGTAAGCCATGTTGTCAGTTGCCCCTCCCTCCATCAGAGCAATGGCAGACAATCGTTTCGCGCCTTATTTCAGCACAGACACCATAACACTGGGAACATGGAGCCTGCTCAGATCACCGCGGCAATTATGAGCAGTATAAACACCGCACGCGTGATCCAGCAGGATATGCAGAACCATAACATGCAAGAAAAGCGAAACCAGGCAAGGAGGAGGCGACTGCAGCGTGGTAACGAGAGTGATGAGGACATGGACATAGACTTCTCACAAAGTACAGGCCCCTGCAATGTGCACATCATGGTGTCAATTGGGCAGGTTCATGGTGTGGAACGCCAATTCTGGGCCCAGGAAACAAGCACAGAGTGGTGGAATCACACAGTGTTGCAGCTCTGGGACAATTCCCAATGGCTGTGAAACTTTCGCATGTGTAAGGACACTTTCACGGAACTTTGTGACTTGCTTTTCCCTGCCCTGAAGTGCAAGAATACCAAGATGAGAGCAGCCCTCACAGTTGAGAAGTGAGTGGCGATAGCCCTGTGGAAGCTTGCAACGCCAGACAGCTACCCGTCAGTCGGGAATCAATTTGGAGTAGGCAAATCTTCTGTGGGGGCTGCTGTGATGACTGAGCTGCTGATATCAAGGGTTGTGACTCTGGGAAATGTGCAGGTCATAGTGGATGGCTTTGCTGCAATGGGATTCCCTAACTGTGGTGGGGCGATAGACAGAACCCATATCCCTATCTTGGCACCGGAGCACGAAGGCAGCGAGTACATAAACCACAAGGGGTACTTTTCAATGGTGCTGCAAGCACTGGTGGATCACAAGGGACATTTCACCAACATCAACGTGGGATGGCCGGGAAAGGTACATGACGCTTGCATCTTAGAAACTCTGGTCTGTTTCAACAGCTGCAGCAAGCGACTTACTTTCCAGACCAGAAAATAACCGTTGGGGATGTTGAAATGCCTATAGTTATCCTTGGAGACCCAGCCTATCCCTTAATGCCATGGCTCATGAAGCCATACACAGGCAGCCTGGACAGTAGTCTGGAGCTGTTCAACTATAGGCTGAGCAAGTGCAGAATGGTGGTAGAATGTGCATTTGGGCATTTAAAAGCGCGCTGGTGCAGTTTACTGACTCGGTTAGACCTCAGCGAAACCAATATTCCCACTGTTATTACTGCTTGCTGTTCGCCCCACAATATCTGTGAGAGTAAGGGGGAGATGTTTATGGCGGGGTGGGAGGTTGAGGCAAATCGCCTGGCCGCTGATTACGCACAGCCAGACACCAGGGCAGTTAGAAGAGTACAGGAGGGTGCGGTGCGCATCAGAGAAGCTTTGAAAAGCAGTTTTAGGAATGGCCAGGCTACGGTGTGAAAGTTCTGTTTGTTTCTCCTTGATGGAACCCCACCCGCGGGTTCACTCTACTTTCCTGTAAGCTAAGCACCCTCCCTTCCCCGCTTCGATCACCGCTTGCAGAGGCAATAAAGTCATTGTTGCTTCACATTCATACATTCTTTATTTATTCATCACACAAATAGGGGGATAACTGCCAAGGTAGCCCAGGCGGGGTGGTGGAGGAGGGAAGCACCGGGAGGGGTGGTGGAGGAGGGAAGGACAAGGCCACACAGCACTTTAAAACTTTAAAACTTATTGAATGCCAGCCTTCTGTTGCTTGGGCAATTCTCTGGGGTGGAGTGGCTGGGTGGCTGGAGGCCCCCCCCACCACGTTCTTGGGTGTCTTGGTGAGGAGGCTATGGAACTTGGGGAGGAGGGCAGTTGGTTACACAGGGGCTGTAGCAGTGGTCTGTGCTCCTTTTGCCTTTTCTGCAGCTCAACCATATAATGGAGCATACGAGTTTGATCCTCCAGCAGCTTGAGCATTGACTCCTGCCTTCCTTCAGCAAGCTGACGCCACCTACCATCTTCAGCCCTCCACCTCTCCTCGCGGTCAAACTGTGTTTTCCTGCACTCTGAGATTGTCTGCCTCCACGTATTTTGCTGTGCTCTGTCAGTGTGGGAGGACAGCATGAGGTCAGAGAACATTTCATCACGAGTGCGTTTTTTTTGCCTTCTAATCTTCACTAGCCTCTGGGAAGGAGAAACATATACAGCTGGTGGAGGGAAAAAAAAAAGGGAGAGTGGTAGTTAAAACAACACATTTTATAGAACAATGGGTACACTCTTTCACAATAAATCTTGCTGTTAACATTACATAGCACATGTGCTTTCATTACAAGGTTGCATTTTGCCTCTTACTGAGGGTCTACGGGTTTGGTGTGAGAGATCACTCATGCAGGGCCGGGCAGCAGAATTCGGCTTGCAGGCAGCCATGGTAAGCCACAGTCTTTTGGCTTTTTTAACCTTCATAACATGTGGGAATGGCTTCAAACAGCAGCGCCCTTGTTTCCCATACAAAGTAGCTGTTGCGTTGGCCACTAAAAATGGGTTGGCAATTTAAAAGGAGGGGCTGCGGTTTCCAGGTTCACGTGCAGCAGAAACCCAACTAGCCCCCGCCCGCTCTCAATTCTCTGGAATGATGGCTTCACCCCTCCCCCTACCGCGTGGCTAACAGCAGGGAAGATTTCTGTTCAGCCACAGGCAAACAGCACAGCAGGAACGGGCACCTCTGAATGTCCACTTACTAAAACTACCCTATTTCAACGAGGTGACCATGAATGATATCACTCTCCTGAGGGTAACACGGAGAGATAAAGAACGGATGTTGTTTGAATACCAGCAAACATCGGGACCATACGCTACAATGCTTTGCTCTGCAATGATTCCCGACTACGTACTACTGGCCTGGCGTGATAAAGTGTCCTACCATGGAGGACGGAATAAGGCTACCCTCCCCAGAAACCTTTTGCAAAGGCTTTGGGAGTACATCCAGGAGAGCTTTATGGAGATGTCCCTGGAGGATTTCTGCTCCATCCCCGGACACGTTAACAGACATTTCCAGTAGCTGTACTGGCCGCAAATGCCAGGGCAAATTAATCATTAAACATGCTTGCTTTTAAATCATGTATAATATTTACAAAGGTACACCCACCAGAGGTCCCTTCTCCGCCTTCAGGGTCCGGGATCCCACCTTAAGTGGGTTCGGGGGGTACTGGGTCCAGGTCCAGGGTGATAAACAGATCCTGGCTGGTGGGGAAACTGGTTTCTCCGCTTCCTTGCTGTGAGCTATCTACAACCTCCTCCTCCTCCTCATTTTCCTCACCCCCGAAACCTGCTTCCGTGTTGCCTCCCACTCCTTGGACGGAGTCAAAGCACAGGGTTGGGGTAGTGGTGGCTGCACCCCCTAGAATGGCATGCAGCTCATCATAGAAGCGGCATGTCTAGGGCTCTGAACTGGAGCGGCCATTTGCCTCTCTGTTTTTTTTGGTAGGCTTGCCTGAGCTCCTTAATTTTCATGTGGCACTGCTGCACTAGCCTCTGTCCTTCATGCCATTGGAGATTTTTTCAAATATTTTGGCATTTCATCTTTTTGAATGGAGTTCCGCCAGCATGGATTCATCTCCCCATACAGCAATCAGATCCCGTAGCTCACGTTCGGTCTATGCTGGAGCTCTTCGGCGATTCTGGGACTGCATGGTCTCCTGTGATGGTGACCTGTGCAGGTGAGCTCACCATGCTGGCCAAACAGAAAATGAGATTCAAAAGTTCGCGGGCCTTTTCCTGTCTACCTGGCCAGTGCATCTGAGTTGAGAGCGCTGTCCAGAGCGGTCACAACTGAGCACTCTGGGATAGCTCCCGGAGGCCAATACCGTCAAATTGTGTCCACAGTACCCCAAATTTGACCCGGCAAGGCCGATTTCAGTGCTAATCCCCTCGTCGGGAGTGGAGTAAAGAAATCGATTTTAAGAGCCCTTTAAGTCGAAAAAAAGGGCTTCATCATGTAGACGGGTGCAGGGTTAAATCGAGATAACGCTGCTAAATTTGACCGAAACTCGTAGTGTAGACCAGGCCTTAGACTGCATAGCTCTGCTGGTACAACTCTACCGTCCAGCAGAGCTTTTGTAGTGTAGCCTCCAGATTGCCTAGTATATGCACCGCTCACCTAAGTGGAGAAGCTATACCGGTATAAGCACTTGTATACTGGTATAACTGCATCTATTCTAGGGGACATTTGCCACTTTAACTATGCTGACCTAGATAAAGTCGCAAAGCTTTTAAGTGTAGACAAGGCTGGTGGCACTTAGGAGCCTATATCTCATTGAAAGCTACTTTTGAAAATGGGACTTAGGACTTCTCCAGCCAGGGAGGTATTCCAGAATAGCTATTCCTCTTTAAATTTACACTCTACCTCAGTCCAGAATAACTTGAATGTGCAGACAAGCCCTAAGTCACTTAGGAGGTTTTAAAAATGTTAGCCTTGGCTACATACCATGTTGTACCAGTTTAACTAAACCTTATTATTAATTATGTTTATTGTGGTAGTGGCTAAGAACAACCAAGAATGGGGCCCAATTGTGGTAGGTGCTGTGCAACCAGAGAGAAGTAGACAATCCCCACCCCCAAAGAGCTTACAATCTAACTCAGTGGTTCTCAAACTTTTGTACTGGTGACCCCTTTCACATAGCCTGCCTCTGAGTGCAATCCTCCTTATAAATTAAAAATACTTTTTTATATATTTAACACCATTATAAATGCTGGAGGCAAAGCAAGGTTTGCAGTGAAGGCTGACAGCTCAAAACCCCCCATGTAATAATCTCGTGACCCCCTGAGGGGTCCTGACCCCCAGTTGGAGAACCCCTGATCTAACTAGACCAGACACAGAATAGGGGAAGGGGTAGAACACATCAGCAGTGTGTTTGCACAGCACCTAGCACCATGTGAAGTGATAATTCCCCTGTATGATGTTATTAGAACATGTTCCAAACCCACAGCTCTGCCCAGGTAGAAGTTGGCAAACAGGTTTGTCCTAAACAAAGGTGTGTTTGCCTTAATTTGCATTTAAGCTGTAAAGAGTTATCAAGCAGAAAGGGGCAAGAGAGGAAACAAAAGGAAACCTGCATGTCAAACACAGGTGACAAAACCCAGCAGGGAATATCCTTCGACACAGACTCTTTGTCTCCTCTTTCTTAGTTGGAAATGTTTTTCAAGAGGGGGACTGAAACTATTAAAAGGAGAGACAAACACCCCAAGGGACCCCTGTCTCTCCCGTCCATCTCACTCTTTGTGCCTAACAAAACAAAAGAAGCAGCCGTTAGACTTCAGGGGAGGGGTCCCGACTTGAAGAGTTTGATCAGTAATGCTGTTGGAAGCATGTCGTGAGAAACTTTGCTTTAGATCTATTATAGTTTGTTAAGCTAAGCACTAGAAAGCATTTGATTATTGTTTTTCTTGGAACCATTTCTGACTCTTATGCCTTATTGCTTGCACTCAAAATCTCTCTCTTTGTAGCTAATAAACTTGTTTTTAATGTTTTATCTAATCCAGTGTGTTTAAGTGAAAGTGTCTGGGGAGCTCCATTTAAAGTGTATATTATTCCCTTAAAGCAAGGGTGGGCAAACTACAGCCCGTGGGCCGCATCCAGCCCGCCAGCCGTTTTAATCTGGCCGTCGAGCTCCTACTGGGGAGCAGAGTCTAGGGCTTGCCCCTCTCTGGTGCTTCAGCCAGAGTGTAGGGTTGGGGGCTGCTCCGCACGGCTCCCGGAAGCAGCGGCATGTCCTCCCTCCGGCTCCTACACAGAGGCGGGGCCAGGTGACTCTGCTGCATGCTGCCCCGTCCATGGGTGCCACCCCTGCAGCTCGCATTGGTCGTGGTCCCTCTGAGGTAGAGCAGTGCTGTCATCCCCATTGTACAGATGGGGAACTGAGGCTCAGAGCGGCTAAGTGACTGGGCCAAGGTCACACAGGAAGCCTTTGGGGCAGCGAATTGAAATTGTGTCTTCCAAGTCCCGGGCTCGGATCCTAACCATCATTTTGACTGTCTTGTTTTGTTCTGAGAATGTTGAAATGTTTCATTTTTATAGGGTAAAAACATTTTGTTTTCATTTCATTTTGACTTTCATATTATAATATTAATTTGAATATAATATGGATAGGGTATGTCAATTGAAGTTTATATAGAACAACATAATAATAATAAACTAAACACAAACACTATAGCAGAAGTTACCCTACAGAGGATAACATGATCAAACATAGTAATTATTACACACAAAACAAAATACAAATGACATTAAAGGCAATATTCAGTGTTGTTGTAGCTGTGTTCAGTCCAGACCTGAAGAAGAGCTCTGTGTTAGCTCAAAAACTTGTCTCTCTCAGCCACAGAAATTGGTCCAACAAAAGATATTACGTTCCCCACCTTGTCTCTGTAACAGGCAACAAAAACTGGGGCCTCATCTATATTACAAGGTTTTGCCAGCCTATGTTGGCTGGGAGTGTGAAAAAAATCACAAACCCTACTTGACAGCTATGCTGGCAGAACCCCCAGTATAGATGCAACGATATCGACAGAAGAGCGCTTCCATTGGAATAGTGACTGCGGTTTGGTGACGTGGTGCAGCTATGGCCCAAGAAGAATTCGTTCTGTTGGCGAATGCTGCGTCTAGACTAAAAACCAGCCAAGGAGCTGTAGTGTAGACATGGCCAGAAAGGAGAGAAACAGAGGGAAAGAAACAACAAAGAAAGCAGAAGGGAGGGGGCAGGGCACACTCAGGAAGGAGTTACAACCCAACCTGCCAATTTATTCCCCCACGCCTATAAAGTCTGCCCATAAATCCATGACCTGATTGCAATGGTCTATATAGCATCTGTGCATATGAGGTACTGTATTTCATTTGTTACATTACATGATGATGGTTCAGCAGGATCAAAAAGTTTCGAGGTCCCCGAATGGAATGTGTTCGGACTTTCTGTTCCGCGGAGAACATTTCCCAAATGTCTGGATTCCCCTGTGGGAGGGAAATGCTGTTTCTCCGGCTGGCTCAGACCCGCCCGCGGGGCCCCGAATGGAGACAGGGCTAGAGCCTGAGGGGGAGGAGCGTCTCCCCAGCACCCAGCCTCAGGCCGCCCTGTCACACTAAGACCAGGCGGCAGGGCGGGGCGCTGGGCCACCAGGGGCAGGGAGAGGGGCTGGGCTTGGGTCCAGGGAACCATGGGGTGGGGAGTGAGCTGGGCCCCGCAGGGGCTGGGGAGGAGGGCTGGCTTGGGCGGGGCAGGAGGGAGAGATGACCTGGCCAGAGGGGCTCCTGGCCACGGGGCGGTGGGGAGGTTAAGCCTGGGTGCAGGGACGGGGGAAGGGGGGGACCTTGGGCCACAGGGAGGTGCAGGAGGGGGGTGAGCTGGGCCGGGCGCTAGGCCAGTGGGAGGAAGCTGCGTGCAGGACACGGGTGGGGGGTGAGCTGGGCTGGGGCAGCACGGGGGGGGGGCAGCTTTCTCCCAGCGGCCTCTCTGATTTGGGGGGGCCCAGTCCCTGGGTGCAGCCCCGCCCCCATCAGCGCCGAGCGGGGGTCGCGTTCTTTGGAACAGTCCGGGTCAGTGGAACCGAGGAAGGCCTCCGTCACCATGACAACCTGAGCGGCCTGGCGGGGGGAGGGGAGGGCCTTGGGGCGGTAACTAAGTTCACGGGGGCGAGGTGAAGGGCCCCCACTGGTAACCAATCAGGGCGGAGCTGTAGGTGTGATAGCCAGTCAGGACACAGGGCTGACGCCATCGACGACACCGTACAGGAATCCAATCAACACCTGGAGGCGGGGTGCACGGGGCGGTGAGCGTTGGCCGGGATCCAATGGGGGCACAGAGGGCGGGGCCTCACCTGGCGGAAGGGCGGGGCCTCACCTGCGGGCGGTGAGCCGGGCCGGGTGGGGCTCAGTCAGGCAGCGGCGGGCGTCGCCTCTTGGAGTTCCGTGGGTCGCGGGGCGATGGCTGGGCCCGGGGCGTGGGGCCGGCTCCACTTCGTGCTCCTCAGCGTCAGCTCCTGTGAGTGCCGCGCCGGGGGCAGGAGTGAGGGGGCTGGGAGGGGAAGGGGGCGTGGGGCCGGGAGGCGGGCGGGAAGGAGGGTAGAGGAGGGGGCAGGGGCAATGGGGCGGGCGGGCAGAGGAGGGGGCCTGGGGCCTTGGGCCTTGGGCATGGGGGGCGGGCGGGGGGGAGGGTAGAGGAGGGGGCAGGGGCAATGGGGCGGGCGGGCAGAGGAGGGGGCCTTGGGCGAGGGGGCAGGGGCAATGGGGCGGGCGGGCAGAGGAGGGGGCCTTGGGCCTGGGGGGCGGGCGGGGGGAGGGTAGAGGAGGGGGCCTGGAGGCGGGGGGGGTGGGTAGAGGAGGGGGCAGGGGCAATGGGGCGGGCGGGCAGAGGAGGGGGCAGGAAGGCAGTTCAGGAGCTTCACTTTTTATCACGTTGGGTGGTGATGTTACATGGGGCTGTGTCTGTCTCTCTCTCTTTGAAATGTTGAGACCCCTGCACCTTGGGGCTGCCTTTGCTCCCGGGTCTTGCTCCTTGCTTCACAGGTTGCTCGTTTTGTTGCTGAGCCTCCTTTTCTCAGCTGAGTCCCCACCCTGCATTGGCCCGTATTGCCTTTGGGGTTTGAGGATTGTGCTAAACATTTGGTGCTTTGAGTTTGAACCTCTGTAGAGCCCTCGCCAGGCCCCTTCTGGGCAGATAAAAGGCCTGGGAGGGTGGAGGTGGATTTTAGCGATGCTTCATTCTGAATTTTTGCTTGGTCTGAAATGGGGGAAGTTGTTTCTTTCCTTGTGAGTTAAACACTGTTTGTAAAATGCTGTTGATTCCTTATCAGCGGCATGTAGAGGGGCCTGTGCAGACATACTGATTGCAGGAGGCTCTGTTTTCACAATGCTCACAGTTGGAGACCTGTTAAGTCACAAATCCTAGATGCTGCTAAACAAATGCCCTTTCCTGTATTGACAAGAACACCTCAAATTCTGGAAACTGGAATCACTCTAGAAATCCAGTTCGGTCTTCACCATTGAGGCTATTCACTTCTTGCACTTAAACAATGAAAATTAGTTGTATTTTTTTGGGTAGTCTTTCTGCCATTGTTCCAGTGTTTTCATGCACTTGGCATGTTTGGATTGCAAATACTGCTGGGAAAGCTTTGTTTGTTTAAAGCTGTTGTTCCCTTTATGCTGCTTTTATGATGTATAAGAGCAGCCTGAATGTCGTAAAGTTTCATTTTCTTTCTGTAACTTTACATTTAGGAATATCAAGTCTTGTCTTCCCTGTCCTTGCTGGAGGATGAGAGAGCTGGAGTCTTTTCAACCGAAAGGGTGTCTGAATCTTCTAGAAAGAGCTATTAACTCAAATCTATCAGGATTTGCTTTAAATAGGTGTTTAATTTTGAAAGTTCTCAAGCTATTACTATTATCCGAGCATCTAGGAGCCTTAGTCACAGACCAGGATCTCTATTGTGGTAAGCCGTGTACAAACACAGAACCAAAAGACGGCTTGAGCCTGATACTGGCTAGACATCCACAAGGCAATATCAGAGAGAGAGGCTGAGATTTGGACAGAAGGCGACTGATCTGAAATAGACCTAGGTCTGAGCTGTCAGTGTAGAGATGGTAGTTGCCAACTTGTGTTTGCAAATAATACCGGTTATAAGGTTTCAGAGTAGCAGCCATGTTAGTCTGTATTCTCAAAAAGAAAAGGAGTACTTGTGGCACCTTAGAGACCAACAAATGTATTTGAACATTTGATGCATCCGATGAAGTGAGCTGTAGCTCACGGAAGCTTATGCTCAAATAAATTTGTTAGTCTCTAAGATGCCACAAGTACTCCTTTTCTTTTTGCCAGTTATAAGGTATAGAAGAAGAGAAGGGGACTAAGGACAGAGCCCTGTAGAACTCCCCAAAAAGCTTGTGGGGGGGGGGAACCTACTGAAGGAGTGATTAGAGAGGTAGGAGAACCAGGAGAGGACAGTCAGGGAAGCCTAGGAGGGACAAGATTTCAAGAAGCGGAGCGTGGTCAGCTATGTCAAAGGTGGCTGATAGGTCAAGGAGCGGATGAGGATGGAGTACTGATTCTGAGCTTTGGCTAAGAGGAGGTTATTAGAGACTTTGGCGGGAGCAGTTTCAGTTGAGTGCAAGGGGTGGAAGCTGGATTGGATAGGGTCTAGGACAGGTGGTGCCAGCCTCTTTCGAGGCCTCGCCCCTGCTCACTCCATTCCCCCGTCCCTCTGTCGCTCGCTCTCCACTACCACCTTCTCTCACTGGTTCATTTTCACTGGGCTGGTGCAGAGGGTTGGGGTTTGGGCTCTGGGGTGGGGCCGGGGATGAGGGGTTTGGAGTGCAGAAGGGTGCTCTGGGCTGGGGCCAAGGTGTTCGGTGTGTTGGAGGAGGCTCCGGGCTGGCTTCGGAGTGTGGGAGAGATGGGCTCTGGGCTGAGGCAGGAGTGTGGGAGGGGGTATGGACTCTGGGTTGGGGCCAGAAATGAGAGGTTCAGGGTGCGGGAGGCAGGTGAAGTTTGAGGGCTGGGCTCTGGGGGGGGGCCAGGGATTAGGGGTTTGGCGTGTAGGAGGAGGTTCCGATCTGGGGCAGGGGGTTGGGGCACAGGAGGGGCTTCGGGAGGGAGTTTGGGTGTGGGACGGGGCTCAAGGTTGGGGCGTGGTGAGGGGTGTGGGCTCCAGGCAGCATTCACTTTGGGCAGCTCTCTGGAAGTGGTGACATGTCCCTTGGCTCCTAGGTGGAGGCGCAGCCAGGAGCTGCAGAGTCGGTGCTCAGGGCGGGGGCTGCACATAGAACCCCCCTTGGCCATTCTTCTGCCTAGGAGCCAAGGGACATGTTGCTGCTTCCGGTGAGCCACATGGAGCCAGGTAGTGAGCCTGCCAGCCCCACACCAACCGGACTTTTAATGGTGCTGACCGGAGCTGCCAGGGTCTCTCTTCAACCAGGCTTTCTGGTCGAAAACTGGACACCTGGCAACCCTAGCCTCTTCCTGGTGGGGCGGGGGGGGAGGGGCTGAGGTGGGCCAGACAGAAAATTTGGGAGCTGTGCCCCCGCTCGCCATGACGCCCTACCTCCAGCCAGGTCTGAAGCTGGAGCTGGGCAATGTGGGGCACTGGCTGCTTGCAGCTGGCAGGAGCTGCCTGGGTGTGGGGACCTGGCTCCAGGGCCAGCAGAGCCCTCGGGGAGCAGTGATTGTAGGGGGTCAGGGTCCAGGAGCCTGGGCCAGAGTGGGTCAGTCCAGGCCGCTGTGGAGAGCTTCAGCCTTTCACCTGCCTTGGGCATCATGTCCCAGCGAGTGGGGACACAGGCCGGGGGCTACTGTCAGGCGTGCACCCCCCTTCCCCCCGCTTGGCCTTACTTCTCCAATGCTGCTGGAGCTGCATGCCCAGCCAGCAGCCTCTGCTCTGCCTTCAGAGCTGGGTGGCTGGAGAATGGCAGCTGCTGGGGAGGGCTAAGACAAATTTTAGGATGGCTATAGGCCCTGCAAGCCTTTCTCCCCTCCCTGCCAGTACTGGCCCTGGTCTAGGATGGAATTGGAGGAGAGGAATTCCAGCCAGGGATTGTAGATAATGTATTCAATGAGATTAGAGACAAAAGGGAGAGAGGAGATGGGATGGTAATGGGTGTGTGGGATGGAGTCAGTGAGGCAAGTGGAGGTGTTAGAGAAGGAAAGAAGATGAGAAACTTCTGTCTGTGATCAGGGAGAAGGAGGAGAGAGTTGTGAGGTGGAGGGGTAGGTGAAGAAAAGGCAAGCAGATGGGAGAGGGGAGGTCATGTCAGATCTTTGTTTTTTGTTTTCCTGGGAAGAAATTGATAAGATCCTGTGTCAAGAGAAGAAAAGGAGTACTTGTGGCACCTTAGAGACTGATGAAGTGAGCTGTGGCTCACGAAAGCTCATGCTCAAATAAATTGGTTAGTCTCTAAGGTGCCACAAGTACTCCTTTTCTTTTTGCGAATACAGACTAACACGGCTGTTCCTCTGAAATGTGTCAAGAGAGAAGCAGAGATGCGGGAGGAGGGGAAGGTTTGAGAAGTGAGTCAAAGGGTAGGCTACACTGCTGGAAAAAAGTGTATTAATTCAGGTTCACTAATTTGGGTTAAAATAATAATGAAGACACTTGTCTTTTAGCTTGGATTAGCAGTGCATCTGAGTCTGCCCTATAGACTTTAACTCAAGATGCTAACACGATGCCTAGTAGTAGTGTTTTCACTGCTTTGTTATTGTAAATTAGCTAACCTGAGTTAAGAATACACCTCTAGTTTGTAGTGTAGACATACCCGAAAGTGGTGAAAAGGCAGCTGGAATTAGAGGCATGGGATTCATTTAAGATGGAGTAGTAGAGTGGTTCATGTAGGAAGATGGTAGAACAGGAGAGAATTAATTTGTAGTGCGTGCAATTAGCCTGGTCATAGCCAGAGCCGGTTTAAGACCTTTAGAGGCCCTAAACATTGAAAAGATTATGGTGCCCCCTCATAAGTAATTCAAAATAAAAACAATACTATTCCGTAAAATATTTTATTTTTTGAAATGACACAACGTACATGTATGCTGGAATTAAAATTGCTTCTTTCTAGATTTTCTGGTTGCAAAATTCTGGATAGGTTCACTGAAGCTGACTCAATGAAGCATGTCAACTTCCATACACAATAGGGAAAGTGAACCAAGTCTGTCCTGACACATTGTTCTCTGAGGGTTTTTTATTCTTTTCAGCTGAGAAAGAGTGTTCTGCAGAGCAGTTAGTAATCATCAATGTTAGAAAAATACGTAGTGTGATCTGTACATTTGGAAAGACACATCGTATTCAGTCTTTCAATATTGTGTCATGAAGATCAATGTGACTGAATTTCATTTTTCCTGTTTCATTAAACTTTGCGCGCATATAACAGTGGAACTGCCATACTTCTCCACAGAGATTCATGTTCAAGTCAACAGGGTATGAGTCAACTAGCTTTTGGGAACTTCGTGAATATTGTTCGTCAGATAAGTCCATGTCGTTTAGAAAAGAAAATCTACTTGATACT